ACAGAAGAGGACTAGCCTTTCCTATCCACCATTTTAAAAGCCTTCTGCCACATTTCTGTATTTTTCAAGATAAATGTCACTTTTCACTATAGTATCTTGACTTTATGAATTTAAGCGCAGTACTAGGTTGGCGGCGAGGTCTCATCATTTTACACCAGAAATGGCTAGATGTAACCGTAAGTTCTATTCTAACAGTTTCTTCTCTCGCACTTCTCGTTTGTGGAACTTTTTCCCAGCTTCTTGCTTCCCAGTCAGCTTTGAGATTCAAAACTTTAAATGCAATGTCAATCGTTATCTACTGTTTTCTTAATTTCTGTTCTCTTATTGTTCTCTCTCCTTAATAGTGTTTTTATTTCATATTCTTTAACATTCAGTGACCCCTTGCATCTTAGTGGCTTTATTGTCTTTCTTGGGGTGAAGTGATTTAAAGATATCTCTGTAAGGTTTCCGAATTACTGTAGCAAGGTAATAACATTTATGTGAAAAATAATAAAAACGTTTTTTTTATGTTTCTAAAATTTAATAAGCCTTTCGAAGACCCATATTTAGCAGTCAGTAACATGTAAAGGCAAGAAAGGATGTGCGGGTGGTGTAATGGATAGTGGCTCCGAATGAGAAAATGGAGAACTGAGTTCGATTTCAAGTCGAATTGGCTGCATTGATGCATGCGCTAATAACTGTGGGAAAGGTATGAATCAGTCTATCTGTTGTGGAGTGATTTTGTTCTAAATTGGTCCTAAAATAGGTTCGACGTACAAAACGTTAGGAACTTGATATAATAGGTAATACGCAGAGTAATCTAGTTGTGGTCGCTGATACTTTCGTATTCGACTAACTGTCGTCCGACATCGACTGACTGACTGACTCGTTACTCTTACTACTCCTACTTATTATTGGTGGGAGAGTCTATTAACTATAGAATAGCTGTGTTCCACCATAACACTATCTGCGCACCATCTATCTAGAGTTGATTGGGCTTTTCATTCAAGGAGAAGGGCAACATTGTATTCAAAATCCATATGTCGCCATGAAAAAGAATATCGATATGGAGCAAATGAAAAAAACGTTGACGTCTATGATCCCGACTGTAGGCGTCTATTATATGTAACTGATTTTTTAAGCTAGTTCGAAGTATATAACACTAACCGTATATACTCGTGTATAAGTCGACTCCATGTATAGTGCGACCCTTGAATGTTTTGCATGAATTTTAATTCCTCGATCCCAAAATTGTCTGTGTATAGTGCAACTGGTCACCAAAAATGCATGATTTTTTTAACTGAAAAAATTACCAATGTGTAGTGTGATCCCCTATATTTTGGATAAAAAAAAATAAAAATGATCATAAAACCTCGCACTACACTGCGTGCCAAATTTCAACCTAACTGTTTCAAATGTTCAGTAGTCTTGTGAGCAGCATGTGAGGGAGCATTATCTTGCATAAAAACAATGGCCCTTCTGAAGGCAAATTTTTGCCTTTTCAACCACGGTTCAAGATGATAACAAATATGGCGCCAGTTTGTTTACATTGCGCAGATCAGTAGGAAAATTTCGGTGATTGCGCAGGTCAGTGTTTGCCAACATTGTGTGAAAATTTTGTGTGAATTGATTGGACGGTTTTTGAAATATTAGAAAAATAGTTATCTCGATAATAATTTGGCACGCAGTGTATATTCGAGTAAAGACAGTATGTATATATTTAATCAACATTGGCCGATTAAATGGAGATACATTTTCTTTAGTAGTCTTTAGTTCTGAATAGTTCTGTTTTTGCGGGGTTTTTTTTTTGCTAGTAATAATTCCGACCTTAATATTTTAGGAACCTTTCAGGAAACGTGTGATATATACATCTACACACACACATACACACACACATACGCACGGACGTCCGCAGAGTTATGAAGAGGGAAAGAGTGAAAATGGAGAAGTCCGAGAGGGGAGGGGAGGGAAAAGAAGGAGAAAGGAGAAAAAATATTATAGCAACCCATTGAATAGAATAAACACCAACAGGAAAACATCTGAATTTTCAAACTGTTAATAAAAGCTCGCCCTATATTCGAGTATTGTGATTTTCCAAACGTAGCTCAGATGTGGCACAAGGCCGAAATTTTAGGGCGCCCAGTGAGGTGCGAACTCACTCGCAAATTGTTCAAGCGAAACAAGCTTGCTAACCATTACGCCACCTCGAGGTACCCAACTATTCTCGACTATATGCGACGTTAATTTCTCTACCATTTTGGTTTTTGGATAATGATCGTTTAACATTCTCACTGTCCATTTTTCTTTCGAATCTACTTATTTCTCTGGCTTTCAGGCGTTGTTCTTTGTTTGTTAGTTGCTTATCAATCTGATCTTCATCTTTTCCTATTCATTCGATTATTCATAATCTTTTCACCTACTCAGTTGCCAAACTCTTTATCTGTCTATTGGCCAGCATGTCTGTTGATCTATCGAAATCTGATTCCAATCGACTGAGTGTTTGTTGGTAACTAACAATTAGTAACTAGATATTTTCCCCTTCGCTAGACAACCATATAAGCATCACTGATTTTCTAATAGGATTAGAAGCACATCCTTAGGTAACCAGCTCTTCTGTAAAATGCAGTTAATCAAGGAAACATTACAAAAAAAAAAAAAATAATAATAAAAAAAATGGAGAAACACCTTTTGAAAATGAAAATATACAAAAATGAAACGAACGCAAATAAATAAATATCTAATTCTTTTCGATCGATTGTTAACCTCGTAAAAGATTAAGACTGGAAAGAAAAAAAGTAAGAAATAAGGAAACCTATTTTTTAAAATGTTTATTTTTTCTTTTATGTGATTGATGTTATATGTAGAACATTATACTGTAGATAAAATTTGCTTACATTAATAGTACGGCATTTTATTTAATTTTTTTAGGACGGAATCTTGCAGATTTGATTGGTGGAAAAATCGTGGTTTGATTTGTTTTCCTGAAGCAGCAGAAGTAAAACGAAGTAGAAAAAAAAATCCAAAAGGCTGAATGTACCTACACCAAAACGTGTTGCATACTGGGCTGTGAAAATAAAAAAAAATGACAGTCTTTTAATGACACCAGACAAGGAATATCCACAAGCGGTTCGGAAAAAGCGAAGGAGGGTGAACACGTTAAGAAAGGAACACTCATTAACAAAAAATAAAACAAAACAAAACAAAACAAAAAAACAAAATAAAACAAACATTAAAAAATATATTGAAGAGACTATACTTTATTTTAGGATATTACATGAAAAGCATTTAAAAAAAACACACTAAACAATTGCAGTCGTGTTTCGATTCGAATTAACGCATCTCATCAGGCGTTAGTGAATAAATTTGATGAGATGCATTGATTCGCATCGAAATACGACTGCAATTGTGTAGCGTTTTTTGACATGACAAAATAAAGAATATTGCTCTACTTTGTATTGAGCCCTCTTTTAAATTAAATATTACGTATGTTGGAATTGTAATCCATTCTTTCTCATTTTATATGGACGAGACTATATAAAAAATGAGAAAGAAATATAAGTTATTGATGCCAGAAAGTAAGATAAAAACAAAAGTATGAAAACAAAGTACAGACAACAGGACGCGATAATCGGGTGTCGATGGATTTGATTTCACTCATAATGAAATTCTTGATGAGCTTCCTAAACATCGATCTACGGCAAGCAGACAAGAAAACTTACAAATAAAATGAACAATAAACAACGTAAATGAAAAAAAAAATCCCAAAAGGTAAAGAAAGAAAGGAAGACAGACAAGGAGAAAAGGGAAAAAATATACTTCTTCATAAAGGTAAAAGTACTGGCTAATTAACAAGAGAGACAAATAAATGAAGTAATGAATCCAGAAAACAGAAATAGAACATTGGAAGAAAGTCAATGTTAGGGCAAAGAAGAGAAGGAAGCAAAGAAAAATGAAAGAAAAACAAACAAACTAGAGATGACGAAATATGAAGAAAACAACAGAAAGACGGAAGGAAAATAGATAAAAAAATAATAATTAATTAAGTAAGTAATTGTCGTTTAAATCTTTCTTTCTCTCTGAATCATGTCTCTTTAGGACGATCGGTTCTTACGTTGATATCACGTTGAAACACCAGTTTTAGTGCGATCACCAAAGTTAAGCAACTTCGAGCCGTGGTCAGTATCTAGATTAGTGACAGCTCGAAAAATACCAGGCGTTGCTGGAAGCTTGAATGTGTACCTGTACCTGTAACGGCATTCAGGGGGGGGGGGGGGGGGGTTGAGCCGGCTCCAATATTGGAGTTTCATGGAAATTTGGAATTCACAAGCGGTCCCCAACCCGCATGTATAGCACATGAGATTTGATTATAGTGGTGAAGGTTTCGTGCAGGACCATCAACACTTTTTGAAGGGCCGATTACAGAGACCTGGTGCACTACGTGCCTCAAGGTCCTCAAACGACCCTCCGCAGGTTTTAAATTCAGAGTTGTCCTTCTCCTAGACCAGTTGCCATCCAAGGCTATAGTCTGTCCTGCTATTTACCCATAGCTGGAGGGAGAAGAAGAGGATTCACACCTTTCCCAAGGGTATTAGCACGTAAGTGAATATAATGGATTCGACTGGAATTCGAACTCGGCTCACCGATTCCTCAATCCAAGCCATTACTCCACCGTGCCTTCTAAGCTTGAATGTGCAGGAGGGTATAATGGATAACGTAGAGTCGACTTTCAATTTTCAGTCCGGTTCGTTATGTTTAATAACGGGCACATATCCTAGGGAAAGAAATGAATCCATGTCAAATACCTCCAGCTATGGGTTAATTAGTAGAACTTGTATCAGTAAATCATTATTATCTTAAAAAAATCATTAAAATCTAAAAATATTTTCTGGGTTTAAATAAGCTGCAAAAGATACATAGGCCATAAAAAAGAAATCAATTAATCTTCAGGGCGATCATAGCTCTCCACGACTTTCTTTTTTCCATACTCTAATCAATATTTGCCCATTTTATAAAATGTCTTCATGATACTTCTTTCTTCATTTATTTGCTTGTCAATCAGGTTACTCGTTTCTTTTGTCAGCCCTTGATTTAATGATCCAATTTGCTTTGTTTTTAGTGATTTTTAACGCGAAAAATCCTTAAGTTCTCTTGTTGTAACCTAAGGAAGGTTACTGAATAGAATAATCAAACGGAGGTTGGTAATGAACGATAATACTTAGAACAAGAGCAAAACATATAAGATTCGCCAGTGGCGCGTAGAAGTAGTAGTCAACTGCTAGAAGTGAGTCAAGTGAATTTCACAATGTATCTCCAACTGCAGGATATCTACCAACGCGGTCAGATGTGTCACAAGGCCGAATGTAATGTGGGGTATCCGTGTCCGTACTTTCGGCCACAAATTCCCCGTAGACCCCGTATAAAACGGGGTCGGGTAGCTGTTTCCCGAGACGTGACTCTGCTTTTCGACATAGCCTCGTCTGGGGTTCCTCTCTGCCTGGAGGTAGAGTGTTTGACCAGCACAGCTGAAGACGAATCTCCAACTTAAGGATAGTTGCCAACCGCCCCACGTGGTCAGATAAGGTCGAATTTAACGTGGGGTATCCGAGTTCGTAGACTCGGGGAATTTTTACCCGTAGAACCTGTAAAAACAAACGGCTGTACCACCCCAGAAGAGACTCTGCATTTCGGCATAGCCTCGTCTGGGTTCCTCTCTGCCCGAAGGCAGAGAATTCAACTGGCTTAGCTGGAGACGAATGTCCAAGTGAAGACCAACATATAGTATTTTACTACTGTATTTATGCGAATGGCGACATACCTATTATAGTCCGTAGGTATGCTAAAATATCTTTTTTTGCTTGCTTTGGGTGAATTGGTTGAAAGAAGTGAGTAAGAAGGAAGAAGATTTGAGCTAAGAAATGGAGATGCCAGAAACAAACAAGTACAAATATCTGGAAAATGTTATAACAGGCAACAGAAAATCTGGTATCGAAATCCGAAGATAACGTCGCAATAGCAAAACATGTTTTCGGAAAACTAAAAAAAAATATTAAGAATAAGAACCCTTTCGTTAGAAACAAAGAGAATGGTTATGCACTACCATGTAATATCCATCCTCCAGCTTGGCAGTGAATTCTGTGCAAGTTCCTCACAGTTAAAAAAAAAAGAAGATATTTGGTTCTTCAGCGATATTGCTCAACAGAAGGAAACTGAGATTAAACTGAACAGAACACGTGGGAATTGATACAAAAATATCACTCGTAATAAGAAAGAAACAATTGATCTTTCTGAGACTTATTATGTGGAAAGACGGCTTGGAGAATTTGAAACTCACAAGACATATTGAAGGCAGAAAGGTTACGGGGAAACAGTAAGTAAAATATCTAATAAGCTTGTGTAAGTGGATTGCACAACGGGAAATGGAAAGGATAAGAGGACAAATATTGCTTAGTGTTACAAAGGAATTGAAATTGTAAAGAGTCATACGAATCTTTAAATGGGATGAGGAGGGTGGTTAGTAACCTTCTGGAATGAAGAATAAAACAACCCAAGTATCAACGGTTAGATAAAAAGTGGTAGGGTCTCAACAAAGTCACTGTGAAGGAGGCATCAGAAAACTATTCCACTAACCTTCGCAAGAAAAATTAATGTAGTAGACAGATATATTTGAGATAGAATGAAATTAACAAGGATAATTTTATGCCAAAAAATAGAATTTTAACAAACACACACGTAGATTAGATTGAGAGTGAAGAAAAGAGGTAATAAAATAATACGAAAATTTTACGTGTCTATAAAAAAACTGGAAGGTGTGCCAAAGAAAAATATACCGAGGTTTTTGTTTACGAACTCAAAAGATGTATAATTTGATGAGCTCAAAAGCAATCCTCTTTAAAAGAATCCGAGCCTCAATGCGTATTGGAAGATAAAATTGCTTTTTTGTATTGGAAGATAAAATTGTTTTTTGTTTGTTTCTGGCCAATTTGTTTAATTCCTTTATCTCTTCAACCAGTCGCTTTCAGGAATGTCTCGGAGGCCTGCTAAAAGCTAGCAGATGAGAGATGAGAGAATGTGATATTCATGTTTTATTATCAGAATAGCCGCCATATATAATCAGACCGGTCTATCAGCGTATGCTTAAATTGTTTTATTTTTTATAAGAGTGATTTTAAGACGGCAGTAAAGGCATTCGATTTCGCCAATTAGAAATACATGCCTATATATATATATATATATATATATATATATATATATTATAAAAAAGCTTAAATACTAATATTCCATGGTTATAATTTGTAATCGTAATTACGATCCAATTCATCCATGGAATATTAGTGTTTAAGACATTTTATTATATTCTTACTCTGTTCTGGACATTGAGTTCTACCTGGACGCACGTGTTTATCGTTGCTAGGAAATCATCCATGTAAATAATCACAGACTATCATCACTGTCTTGTCCGTAAATTTCCTTAATATTTTGTACAGTAATCGGCATCTTTGATAATGGCTTATGTAAGCCGAAAGCTTAGATTGGATTAAAAAAATATGAATCAATATTGTGATTTTCTTTCTTCGTTTAATGTTAATGTTATTAAGCTTAACAATCGTTATGAAAAGAATTTACATCAAATAAATAGACAACACTTGTCTATATTATTTAATAAAACATGTATGAATATATATATATATATATATTGAACAATAAAAAAAATATTAAAAATTAAAATCTTCAGACACACTGGGTTGCATATTAATATTCCTTCATTTTTATTATTATTTCATTTAGATTCCTCGACTAGTTTCGCCAACATGGCCATCATCAAGAAAAATAATTTTCTGCTTTCTGGTAGCAGTGAACTACAAAATGAATGTCTTAATGGAGAAAATGAACTATATATATATATATATATATATATATATATATATATATAATTATCTTTTAAAAGATGATTCCATCGTGACACGGAACATCCTATGTTTCAAAATGGAAATCTCCAAATCTAGATTAATTTAAAAAATTAAAACTACAATCCTGAGTATCGTTCCATTCTCAAACGATTTTAAGAATAACTTTCTAAGAAATTGATTTACTTAAGATTAGCGTAGACAATCTTAATATTTTTTGGGTGGAATTAAAGACAGTTTAATTTTTATTATTATTTAGGAGTGGGCAGGTTCTCAGCCAACTCTTGTATCGCTATATATGGCGAGTGTAAATTCGGTTAAATTAAGGTGGGGGTTGGGGTGTCTATTCATTGATATCTACTTTCCTTTTTTTTCAGCAGTTATTTAAGATACTATCTTATATTTAAACATCGTCTGGGTTCAAGTGACAATTTATTTGGCGTTTCCATTTTAAATCTGAATTTTAACGTCCTTTCCTATTATTTTAAATATAAATATATTATTTGTAATTAAAATTTACCTCTTTTTTAATCGCATTCCAACTTTCCCTCCTCATTCGTTCTATTGAGTGTATCTTTGATTTTTTTCCCAATTTGCCGACGTATATCTTTGAAAAAGTGTTGGTCAAAAGGTACCTAAAGTATAACATGACGTCTATTTTGTTTAAATCTCTCTCTCCTCCCTCTCTCTCTCTCTCTAAATATATATATATATATATATATATATATATATATATATATATATATATATATATATATATAGGGTGACCCAAAAAAACGGGAATTTTTGAAGTGCGTATTGCCAGACATGAGCAAGTGGCAACACTGCGAGACAGTGACCTTGAGCAAGTAAACATTTCGCCATTTAAAATTCAAGATGAAATTCACATTATTCACTGTTGCAGCAGTCAATGAGGAATCTCAACAGCACATTTCAAATGAATAACTATGAATATTTACTATGAATAAAATATTTTTCTTCCATCACTTTTGGTTTTATTGGATTGTTAAAAAGTTCCCGTTTTTTGGGGTCACCCTATATATATATATATATATATATATATATATATATATATATATATATATATATGTGTGTATGTGTGTGTGTGTGTCTTTGTGTATGTGTATATAAATAAAGAGAGTCAGAGAGAAAGAGAAAGAAAAGGACAGAGATAATGATTTTTTAAAGTTTTAATCCAACATATTTGCATTACTTAAATATTATTTTAGTAGGCTGTACTTGTGAGAACAATTTTGTGTGTTTTTCTTCTTCTTCTTCTTCTTCTTCTTCTTCGTAGTAGTAGTAGTAGTAGTAGTAGTAACAGAAGAAGGAGATTGTAATGATGGGATAAGCAAATGGGATATTTTTAATACATGTAGAATATGGAGGAAATGTGAATGATTAGATTCCGTGGAAGTGGAATAGTGTGTTCTAGCTGTAAAGGTCTGAACTAGTGAAACTAAAAAAAAATGGAGCATCTGAGCATTTTTTACACTATTTACATTCGGACTATTGTCCTCATTTTGTTGTTGTTATCACAATGTTTCGGCTGTTTTATCCTCCGGCCATCATTAGGTGTATATCGAACCGAGCAGAAAATTCCCAACTGACCACTTTATTAAATATACGGCGAGGAAACTTCTCCTTTCACTAGTCATGTCGAGTTTTTGTTTCTCGCACTTATATCTACTTATTGCTCGCTCTGTTTTGACGGAGTTCAAGTCTATACTGCCCGGCACAGGGATTGAACTCACAATTATTATGACGTTGCGTCTGTGGCGAAGAGGTTGCATTTAAACGAGTTCGAGCTTTTCAAACTCATCCCTGTCTCTTTACCGCCTCATCCTTCCTCATTTTATCCTCATCATTATCTTTCCTCATCGCCCCCTCTTTTCATCCCTTTCCCCAACTCTTTCGTTTCTTCTCTCTTCATTCCTTCATCGCCTCATTCTTATCCCCTTTTACACTCCGACCTCCTCCTCCTTTAGAAATTCTCTTTCGTCGCCATCTTCTTGAATTGAACGAAAAATGAAAGCGACATAGCAATAATCACTAATCGCAAAAGCAATAAAGTTGTAGGCGTTGATAAAGAGAGGCAGCTGCCTCAGTTCTCTTCT